TACTATCACATACATACAAGGGATGGACAGACCCACTCCTTAAGGAGCTTCGCCCCTAAAATTATACATTAGAGGGGGACCGAACCCGGGTCGTTCGCGTGGTAAGTGGAATACCACACAGCCACGCGTCTCCTTGTGAATACTACGAAACTAACTTCCTCTGCTTGGGAATGCAGTGAAAGAGACATTCATGGTTTAGAAACACACGCGTGTTATACACATGCTTCGCAGTACGGCATGAAATATTGCGGTAATAATGCGTGGTACAAGCGTACATCGCCACCGGGTGTTTGAGCATGTGATTATCACAATTGAATTCATGGTTTAAAGCCAGTCAACCATTACAAAGGGCACACACGTTACTGCGTCCATTCAGTTTAAAGGGGCCCTGAAATACTTTTTTTTTCAAGTAACCATGGAATGAATTCACTGAAAGAGCTTATTACCTAACGAATTCAACGCCGCAAAAAGTTTAACAATCAGTTCAGTACTAGCGGACTTACAAAGATTTGTCCCACGCTGCACAGCTGACTGGGCGAGTTGGTCAATGACGAAATGGTATTGCTTTAGCGCTGCTCAGTGTGAGCGTGAATAAAAGATGCCATGGACAAGAAATTAAAACACAGACGACCCTATGAGCACTATTGCACCGCCCTTCTGCTTAGCTTCCACGAAAGCGATGGAAGCTAAGCAGGGGGGCGATGGCAAGGGCAAATAAAATACGTCACGCACGCCTCATGACCTTGAGCACTTCTTTTTTTTTCCTTCGAATACGTGGCTTTTTCAGTGTAATCGCACGCATTGACAAGTCACATCCTCCCATGGCGATCTTTGTAACCACCGAGCGCCAGGCCTGCACGGCATAGAGTTTCCCAAAATTAACTAAAGGGCACTCTGGCGCTGCGATCGTTCAGCGACTATGGGAATGATGGGTAGTACCGTAGTACACACATATGCCTAGTCTTCGTACTTGCGGGCGGTGAATCGTACTTGCGGCTTCGTTTATTGCTGTGTTTCAGTTTTGTTTTGAAAGAAAGAACAAACCCTTTTCAACTTGGTGACTTGATTCGAAATGGTAAGCCTCAAAGAATGAGGTTGTGAAGCGCAAACGGTGAACACTTGCTAATTTAAGTTTTCATCAAAAAACAGCTTCAAGCCACACGGATACACACGGAGCCAGAAGCAGGCCAGAAGTACGAAAATTAGACAAATGTGTGTACTACCCATCATTCCCGTGCTTGCTGAAGCGCCGTGTGTTGCAGCTCCCATATATAGACACAAGCGCCAGAGTTCCCTCTAGTCTATATTGAGAAACTCTATGCAGCACGGAAGGCGCAGCACAGTTACAGCGAAAGCTAGAAGAGTGGCCTTTCAGAGCCTTTCGAAACACTCATCGGGTAACCACTGCAAGCACACTTGCTTGATACCCACTAGGGCATTAATAATGAAAATTTTGTATAAAAGGTCGGCATTAGCTATGTTAATTTTGGTCATTCTTCTGAGAAGTGTCATATCCCGTAAACACTTGCAATGAAGTTTGCGCCAATTGTTCATGCAGAGGCCGGCGACGATGAGGAATGATGGCTGAAGTGGGTACGCGTCACAGCTAATAGGTGAACCAGAACAAGCTTTCGTAATAGGTTGGGGCGTTGGACGACCAACTCGTTACGCTATTCGCACTGTGCGACGACTGCTTGTTCTTTAGCTGTTTTAAAACGCTTCATAAATCGTATTAACGCAATTGCTTTCCCGACATCAAGCCTGCTTAAGGCAAGTTTGCTAAGGAGTCCCAAGCACTGGTGTTGCTCATTGATTGGAATACTGGGCTGGCACCCAGCGGACCCGGGTTCCAGTCCCACTGTGTCATTGGTGCTAGGTTTTTTTTTTTCTAATATCGCACAATGTGGTTACGGACACCAGCGGGGGCGGCGGACAACTGCTCGTGACCCGAGTTATGATCACATAACAGCTCTCGCTGTAAAACGAAGGTGAGCCTAACACTTCCGGTCACCGCAAGTTTTATTGAAGGTCTTCTGCGGTTGCTAATTTTGAAAAATAGCAAATGAGTCTAACATTGCCGGTTACCGCAAGTTTTATTCGCAGTCACATGCTGGTGTCTGTTTCGAAAAGTGTAAAAGACGAACAGTTCCTGGTCTCTCCGAAATCATATTTTTCTCAATCGAACCTGGACGACCCAGCACGCCCATGAGGCGGCATCGAGGCAAGCCCTTGACGTCCCCTCATGAGATGTCTAGACCCGGCCACCTAAACCTGCTGGTTTCTTATAAAAAGGTTTATTCCTCCTCCTCCTCATACGAACCAAGAACCGTTTAGTTATGAACTGCACTCGGCTACCAGCACGGCACGGGATGAATGGCCTATAACTTGGTCTGCTCACTACTGTAGGACACAATTAAAAAAAAAAAAACAAGTATGGACTTTAGCCACCTTGCGACTCTTCTCTTAAGACTTGATTCGAACCAGTGCTTCCTCAGTTGGAATCTGGACACCTTACCGACTCGACTGCTGCCACACACTCGACGGCATGGTTTAAAAGTTCTGTACATTAGGCAGCCCTGTCTTCAAAATATGCTCGATTTGCGTGTCCGCACTTTGTGCACACAAAATTTTCTGGCCTCCTTGAAGAAAGAGGCAAGTATATAGCTGGCGGAAATATTAACCTTTTTTTCTTAATCGTTCGAACTTTTTTTGAAATGTTGAAAAAAGAAATTGATTTATTTACAATTCGCATCAAAACGGTAAGGTCTTTGCCGAACTTCTAAAATTTCGTGAAATCAGCCAGCCCACTGACAAGATAGATATGCCGACTACTTTTCACCGAACAAGGTGTTCAGGCGCGTCTACGCGTGTAAAAAAAAACAAACAACCGGAGGACGTACGTGCCTATTATTAAAGAACGGCGTGACTTTTAACTTCCAAAGAATATCATTCTAGTCTCTTCGATCTCCTTTTCTTTCGCTGGTATGTAGGTGAGTAGGCGAGAGGCAAACGGTTACTAGAGCAGATATACTACCGCGTCTTCTGCGGTTTGATTCGTTGCCGGCCAACGCAGCACTCCCACTACGGTGAGTTGCCGAACGCAGGCTAGTAGACTCTCTCTTGATAGCCGTTCGCAGTGCGTCAGCTCAATTGCATCATTAGCTTGCGCTGGCGTTGAAGCTGGGAGGTGCTGGCGAAAGTTTTCTTGGTGGAAACACCACCTGTCTGCGTGTGCTGGCTTGATGCGATGCAGCAACCACACGCCCACCAAACCCGTCGAGCTCACCCAGATTCACTCAAAAAAATACATCTTTGCGCTTTGGATTCACTGGGGGTCGTATTCCGGACACTTTCTAATTCTGTCTTATTGTTAAATTTTGTAATGGCGGCATTTTAAGCCAATCAGAAAGATCGTAGCAGCTCATTTGGCCAATCAGCCTTAATAAATAACGGCATCTTACAACATGGCGGAATTCGACAATGTCCAGAAAAGCACCCTGGAACTCTGACTCACAAAAATTTCCCTTTACCGGACTCACACGGACTCAAACTCACAAAAATTTTCTTCTCTTTACCGGACTCACACGCACTCAAACTCACAAAAAAATATTTCTTCTGCCGAACTCAGTCAGACTCAATTTTCCCAAAATATTGTTCACCAGAACTCACTCAAACTCATGGCTCGAACTGAGTCTGAGTAAGTTCGAGCCTACTCATGAGTCCGTTAGCCTAGATTTAGCCTGTTTGACAATGGTGACAATGCTCTTCAACACTAATATCTCACGTAATCAGTGCTTTTCTAGGCGCCGTTCGATACAGTACCTTCGAATACGAGTTGTGGGTGCTCGCAAATGAGTTAAGTCCTTTTTTCTGGGAAGAGATGACTACATAAGACGTATTTATCAACTTCCCTGGAAGAGCTGGTGGGGAGGGGGGGGGGGGTGCCTTCAACGCTGCCCCAACGTAATTCACGCTTCTGATAAATAAACATCATAATGCTGTATGACCAACACTGCTTTGAAATGCGTGTGAACCGACAAACGTTAATACAGGTGGAGGTTGATAGTACTGCTTTAGATGAGTAGATAGCACCACTGGCCAGCAAAAGAAAGTGTATTTCACTCATACTCACTCAAGACATATATCTTGTGCTTTGGACTCGCACAGACTTGGACTCACCAAAATATTATTCACCCAGACACACTCACACTTAATTCATCCGAGTCCAAGTAAGTCGATTCATGAATGAGTTCGCCGACCTATGCAAGTAAGTGCATTACTCAGGTTTCGCCGTTAACACTCCAGTGGCATATATTACCAAACGAACATTCCTTCCCACTCCTAAAGATGTTTAACAGATAGCTTCTACCACAACATGTGTATTTGGGTAACACACCCTGACGAGACAGAGAGAAAGGACATAAGAAATGTAGGCAGTTCAAGTAGACAACGTATAGTTTGCTACTCTGCACCTGGCAGGAAAGCATTTCGAAGCAGTAAGTGGCATATCTTGATCTGGCTTACTTGATATATCTTACTAATTGTTGGCGTTTGACGTCCCAAAACCAGCATATAACTATGAGAGACACCATAGTGTTGGGCTCCGGAAATATTGACCTAATGGGGTCCTATAACGTGCACCTACATCTAAGCACACAGACCCCAGGCATTTTTGCCTCCATCGAAAATGCAGCAGCCGCGGCCGGGATTCGATCCCGCGACCTGCTGGTAAGCAACCAAGTGCCTTAGACACTAGACCACCCTGGCGGGTTATGATGTATCTACATACTGAGCTTCATTAAAATGTTTGAAAATATACGAAGTGTTGCTTGCATCCATTGAATAACAGCGATAAATCCCAGACTGAACAGCTTCAGATTTTCCAAACATGGTTTACTCGCAAATGGAGAGGCCTATTGCATAAATTCCTGAACGAAACATTTGCATTAACAATGGTTTCTGATATCACATGCTGGCTGAAAGAAGCACTAGGCAAGAAATACAGGAAGAGTGTATATTTTAATGGAAAATTCTTCGAAAATATATAAGCACTTGTGCCTTGCATTGATTAAATGCTTGCATATTGTTACACAGCATCTTATAGTTTTAAACTAGAATAATGTTATAAAAACAACAAAGCTGGAAAACAATCTGCAAACAACACGAAAACTAACACAGCAGGTAACTGAGGTATATGCAAAGATGCGCACCCTGAAGCCATTGTAAATCTGTGTAAAAGCTTAACAGGGCCGCGCAGAGCAAATAAAAAGGCAACCTAAATGTGCGTCAAAGTTAACAAGCAATAAAAGTAAGTTTCACACCTGAGCTGTCGCAAAAAAAAAAAAAAAAACTGTGACTCCGAAAATCTGTAAAATTCTGTCATCGTTGCGTGCTGCCGGTCCAAAGAACAACCGTGTAGTCACTGGCATACAACTAATGAGAGAGAGTGTGACGTCATAAGAGCGTACTAGTTACAGACATTAACGAAATAGAACGCGTGAGGCTAAACAACACTAACCGACTTGTGTGACAGGTATTTGTAAACGCACAAACCCGTGAGGTTATACAGTATAACCGGGTAATATAGTACCCTGATTAAACCATGATGGCACTTGGCAATGTCGAGCACTTGCTGCTCGCCTTTAATGACACCGTCGGCGAAAATGAAAATAAAGTAAATAAAAACAAACTTTGTGATAACTAAATGGGCGAGCCGACCCTGGGCAGGGGGCGTGCACAGGAGAAAGTCGATAAGTAGCTGCGATCACTAATCGTCATAGTCGTAACCAAACAGGCCAGTCATGACACCCTGCATGACAATGTCGGGAAGCGAGTCACTGCTCGACGAGTCCAAATACGGGTCCTTGGCGAAACCCAGGACCGGCTGATGCAACGGCTTGAACTCCTGCTCGTCGCTGTCAACGGAGCCGTTGCTCGCCGCGGGCGACAGTGGCGCTGGCACTTCGAGGAAGGACAACAGCTGCGACGAGAGAGCCGAAATACGAACCAAGTCTTGGAGGTAGCGTTCTAGCGCAGCGCGCCGTTGTTCCAGCAGCTTGGGGTTGAGACCGCGGAGTCGCTTCGGGGGAAATCCCGAGGGCGCCTGGCTTCCGAGCATGCGCTTGACCTGCTTGTGGAGCGCGTGGAATGTGCTGTACCTCCGTTCCAGCCGATGACACACGCCCGAAACGGTCACCTCGACGCAGTACACGACGTGCTGACGCCCATTCGGGGCGTCCACTTGTCGATACGCGGGCACGAACACGCGGATCATCGCGGCTGCAACGTTCCTGCGGGACCCACTGGTCACCACGACATCTTCGCCAGCGGGGAAACGGCGGTTGCGAAGCACGACGCGGACGTGTTTACATCACGTCATGCACCCGCCCAGAAAAACACCTGGGCTGCGCCATGTTCGCCTTACCACCCTTTGCGAGAAGGAAAACGCCGAGAGCGACGAAATCTTGAAGGCGGTAGCAACACGGGGTAGAGCTTTGACGTTTCGTTAACAGGTGGCACAAATGGCAATTGTTTCGGTTTCCCTTTTGGTAGATAAGCGCAATGAAAAATGCTTTACTGCACTTTAGAACTGTTATTCAGATTTTAGAGCATTTCCGGCGCGGTTGGTTGCAAAGTTAGTCCATTATTTTGTTGTTTACAGAGATTATCAGGCAGTGTCAAGGAATGCACGCGAAATGTCAGAAATCCCCTGTAACGTGTCGGTCCGTTTTTAGGACTTGCCAACCTGAACAAGCAAAACAAATGCAGTTATTGCGGATTCCTGCCTATTATAATAACTGCGTGGTAATCAGGAAAAACTCAGGGCATTGTTTAAACTACAGCGTACTTGCGACTAGGCGATTCAGCTGGGCAGTGGAGACTTGGGAAACGTAAATTTTTTCCCACACGCTGACAAAAACAAACGCAAATCACAGATGTGTGGCGCCATCTCGCGGAAAAGACTACAACAATGCGTGCTGATTGACACTTTTTGTGAAGAGATGGCGCAGTTGTAGCACCAGCCGTCTGCCGCATGTCTAGGCAACGCGGCCTCCTCTAGAAAGATGCCTGAGGAATGGCTCGCGCTCCCAGCGGAGTTGTCCTGCCCTCAGTTTTAAACAAGCTCCGCGCGGAGGCGCTGGCGACCAACACTATCATCACGGCGACGGGCGGTCCCAGTCAAGCGTTTTCATCTGCGGCCCATAGGGGCGCGTCAGGGGAGTTGTTAGAGACCTACAACTGTGCACCACTGCTTCGGAGGCTATGCAAAGTGTAGCGTTGTTGCACCGTCCGCCACAGGTGACGCTAGCGACCGAGAACAATTTCAAAATGAAGGAGGAAAAGGGTGTGGCAGCTGTTTTTTTGTTTTTCTCATGCGGCAGGCATCTTCCTATAGGAGGCGTTGGTCTAGGACACCGCAGGTGCCTGCCCTTCGGGAAAAGTGCCGACGACCAGCTAGCCTTAAGGCCCGCAGCCACCGATATAATTCCACTGCTGGTGGCGCTCATAAGTTAACACTTTATTTTAAAAAAATGAAGCGAAGTATGGAGGCTGGCGGGATGGGAAGAGAGCTAGGTGTGCAGATGGGATTGAAATATTTGTGGGGATAACGGGGCCGAAGCAAGCGCGGAACCGAGTTATTTCAAATAACTCGGCGGGGCCTTTCTCCCTGCAATGCGCTTGTAGGGTTGATGATGGCGAGGAATATCCGCATCACTGAATGAGTTCGCGACTCCCCTGCTGGCTACGCATTTTTGCCAAAGGCTCAAACCATGCCATATTGAAAATAGCATATTCCCTTAATTTTCACGAGGTCACGTATAAGCTAGTCGTCATTACGAAATGGATCATTTTAGCCTCATTTTTGCATAGCCTCGCGTGAAAGTGTTCTTTGCGTGACCCAGATAATTACAACCAGTCATGAATGGGCAGCGAAATGAATCAATGCGGAGTAGTTTAGTGTTACGATTACCCACATATCTTAATTCAAACAAGATTCGCGGTTGCGCAGTGTGATAGACGAATCTTTTGGTAGGGCCAGGAGGACACTCCAAGAAATGTTGAGAGAGAGAGAGAGAGAGAGAGAGATGTGAAACGCAGGGGGAAATAAACCTGATGAAAATTTTCGGTTTATGGCCTTGCACTAGGGAAAGGGTAAGGGGGAATCGAAAGGTAAAGAAGCGAAAGAAGTGAGAGAATGTAGAAAGAACCTATTGAAAAAGAAGAAAGAAACATGCGCTCACACTCAAGCCCAGGAGTGTCATAAGCACTTGGAGAATCCGGTTGACCGCAGAAACTTCAGCAAAGCCTTCGTCGCCTTCTGGTTGGAAAGTTGAACGTTCCGGCACTCCAAAATTGATTGTGCGGAAAGAGGCTGATCATCGAGGTGAGCTACGGTTGCCGCAATGACGCAGTAGGTGCGCAATGGTTTCCTCGCTGCCACAGTTATTGCACGCAGTACTGCCAGCCATTCTGATTCGGCATGCAAGTATAGGGTATGTATTACGCCTTCAATGCTACACGTCCTTGCCTCTTAAAAAAGAAGTTGTGGTTGACAAATTAACAATAAGAGATAATGTAATAATAGTCATAATGATAGCGCATTAAAAGCGCCTTTCCGACTCGCAAAAACAACGGAAAACATTTTATACGCACACCTGATTATATGGAGGAAAGTGTAGCACTAATTACGGAAAAGAAAGAGTGCACTCATAATTACCTAAGTTGAAAAGCTGTTATTAGTGAACAGTTCTGGAACAGTAGAAATTCCATTGAGAAATATTGATCTGTGCAATATTGGGAAGGCCAGAACCGACATTTCGCACATAAATTTATGCAGATAATCTACAAAAGGTATTGCTTCTAACACAAGGACATGCATAACAATCGCATGTACGACTGTTTCACAGTGCACCCGTTGTATAAATAAGTGTACTTCTATAATGCTATTAAACACCTCTAAGCTAATTACGTCTCTGTGTACAAAAAATCACACTTAACTGAGGGCGGCATATATTTACACGGTATCAGTTCGGCTGTGGGTGAGTGGCAATGAGCACCCCACCACCATGCCCGTTGTCTCGGTCACAACGAAAAATAGTGAAGCCCGTGGGAGCTATTCTCGCAGTGTCCGATTCACGGACATGACCAATTCACCGGAGCGCGTTCAGTTACGCAGAAAAATGGTGAGTCGTGACGCCATGTCAGGCTTGACCACGTCGGTGCACTGAACCCACCAGCACATTCCCAGCGTAAAAAGAAACTGAAACGAAATGTCACGGAGGAAAGAAAGATAGAAGAGGACATGCCCAGCCGGCGCGCTACGTGAAAAGTGCGGAGGAAATTACATCATGGCGGCCATATTCACTGGGCACGATGGTGGCTTTGCTATGGTTACGTGTTGCTCGCAGTGTAGCTGGTCTAGCAGTGAGCGGCCGCGGCTGGCGGCGGCATGTGTGCCTCCGCAGGCCGGACAATAGAGAGTAGAGAGTTTTAGTACTGCGTACGCTGCGTACGTGGCGGCGTTGCGTACGTAAGGACGCCGCGTTCTGCGTAGTGCGCATGCGCAGACCGCAACGCGCACGTATCGCGTTACGTACGCAGCTGCTACGTACGCACGCATGAGATGCGTGCGTGCGTACGTATGCGGTGATCGCGCCGCTCTCGAACAAGTTCGCGAAAGCGCGAGACTTCGTTTTGCAAAATGGCTGCATCGAAGGCAAGCACCGAGTGTGGCTTGAAATATGGCCATAATCTGGCTATAACACTTGGATTGGCTCACATTGGCTGTCAACAACACGTGCTTGTATTTTGATCTACCAGATGGCGCAACACGCTTCACGCTCGTTACGTACGTGGGTACTACGGCGTACTAAAAGCCGATTAGTGGCAAACGACGCCACGTAACGCAAGGCGCTTGCGTGATGCGTACGTAGCACCATTCCGCAGTACTAAAACTCTCTATTATCCGTGCTCTGCGCAGCGTCATTGGTTACGCAGTGCAGTTACTGTACTCTTCGCAACGTTTACAAAACCCTTCGTCCACCACGGGGCCTGAACAGTGCGCAGAACAAGCGCATATCCATGTGTCGTGCGGTGGATGACGCGGATGAAGCACTTGAAGTGTTCAGCGAAATTGCGTTGGGCACCATGACGAAGCGAAACGATGACGAACGCCTTGAAGGGCAGTGATGATTGGGCCGTGCTTCTGCTTGTGGCAACGGACGACAATGTTGTGCCCAGCAAGATGCAATGAGGACCATGCGCACATAATTAGGTAGTTTCGTGTTCGGTATGTGTACAGTAACAACTTGCATGTGCGTAATAAAATACCTTTTCTGTTCCACTTCGTATACTCTGCCCCAGCATTGCATGTAATCTCAACATAACAGCAACCACGTTCTAGTGTCACTCGCACCATGCTCAAAGTTACCACTGTCGCAGAATGCTGACGCTGGTGAGTTTCACGCGGAACACGGACACAGTGGCAGGACGCTGCGTCGGCCGCGTGGCGGAATGCAACCGTAGATGGCGCACGATTGATCGCGTTGTTTGTACAGTTGCTGAATTAATGACGTGAAAACACTCGCCGTTGTCAGTGCACCTAGCGCGTGTTCTCTTGTACTTGCTTCGTTGTTGGTGAGTTGTTACTCGCTGTTAATACTCGGACGAAATGATTTCGCCGAAGGTGTCGCGCTGGCTCAGAGTGTTGAGCCCCGTTCCATTAGTTTCGGATGGTCACGACACGCGCGCTGCGCAGCCCACGTGCTTTCCGAGCCGGAGAGAGAGTCACGCCTTCTGCTTTACATTTAGATGTAAACAAGAGAGGAGAATTTTCCCATTCAATATGGCCGACTTCCGCCTTCACAGGGAGTGGCGTCAGGACCTCTCCTAAGTACTTTTCCTTCCTCCATGCGAATTGTAGAGTAAGAGGACTGTTAAACAAGCTTGACAAGTCTGAAGGTGCGTATGAACTAGTAGAAACGTTTGAAGAGCGTTGCAAATAATGACCTTTCATGGCCGTGAGGCGGTGGCCTCGTTAAACCTACTTCAAAGGCTAGCGTGATGGGAGTCCATGCACGGCCTCAGAGATGGGCTTCTAAATGCGGATCTCTGGGAGCAGCATTCGTTGTGGCGAAACTCACTCCGTCTTTCCCATTTGTGTCGAGAGTTGTGAAATCTTCGAGGCGTCAAAATGACGTTGCGGAAGAAAGACCAGATACAGGCGGCGCGCTCCGGCCAATCAGGGCAGGTCGAATCGGACATGTCCACGAACTAGACGCCGCGAGAATAGCTCCCGTAGTGATATTTTGTAAGCAGATGACGAGCGAGAGCGCTTGTTTATTGCCCCCTGAAAGCTGCTCGCAGCTTCATTGACGTACCGACTTTCAGTTCTGTTGTATAAATGCATTTTCATAAATGTGACTCTGTTGTTTAACAAGGGTTAACTTTCATAACCTTCATACTTTTCACAGTCCAGTGTCATATTTTTTTTTTGTCTCAGCTTTGCACTCTCCTGACACAGTTTTTCACAATATACGGATTATTTCGTTTTCCATATTTAGGAAGCCTTCCACATAGTTGTGCGTATTCTCTTTTGATTTTCACTGCTATTTCACGATTCTCGTTTTCTCTGTTATTCTTCCTATTTTGCGCTGAATTCTTTCTGTCTGAGCAAATTGTCACTCTTTTAATTTGATTTTTTTCTCTAAACTGTATATTAGAGTTTATTTTTTGTTGCACTTTTGTGTGCGCTTGCATAAAGACCGTATGGCTGTTCACGGACACGTTAAATAAATTAATGACTAACTGGTGATTTATTTAATAATAATTTTCAGCACCGACGAGAGTGCAACCGTCAGTTCCATTGGTCAGCCACTATCGCTAAGTGTTACGATGCCAACTTTTAGCAGCACGGCTGTTTATGTTTGGAGTAACTCCGTTAGGTGTGAACAGAATCTATCGATCATCATAAACGACGTCCGCACTACAAAATAGCGCTTGCAACGCAATTACTCGGCTGGCACCCGATTTCTTCGTCCCCTGCTTTATGTTGTGCTTTCTGTTCAGCAATAATAAAAGAAAAATATATTTTAATCTCTGAAATCCAGAGTTCTCATTTATTGACTGCGTTTTTACAGTGTTTGAAACTAAACTTCCTGTATTGAAACCCAATTTCGCGCATTGAAAAGTGATTTTTTTCGAACTGTTTTTTTATTAAATGGCCGATAAGTAAGATTTTGCAAGCTCAATTTCTTTTTCTTGCCTGAATCTTCGCTTTGTAGTGATGAAGTAAAAACTGCGTCGTAGAGCGGCATCGGCTCGGCGTATTTCATCTTGTGTGTAGAGTTCTGTAGCACCAGGAAAAGCCCCATAGAAGGCCCATACCGCGAATGATTCACTACGTCATCCTCAGTTTACTGAATGATGCATAATGTTAGCGAACACACACCACAGGCTACCAGCACAAGATAACAATGAACAACCTCTAAACTTCGTTAAGGCAGTAGTACTACAGCCCATCTAAGTACATTATGAGTCCTCAGTTTGATTAACCCTTTCAGCACAAATGATTTCTGTGCAATATAAGCAACCGGTTCTTAAACTTGAGATGCGCATGATCAAGGTAGTCCAAAAGAATGAAAAGAAAATCTGTCCCCGCAGTTTTCAATTCTGAGTAATTATTGATATAAATAATTTATGTATTATTGTATGATAACATCTCGAATATTTTTTCATCAATTTCTTTGTTAAAAATATTTCAACGCGGTAGGAAAGAGCCTAATACCGAAAATGAAAATTCTCGATGCAGACCTAAAATAAGGGTTTACGCACGGTTAAAAAAGAAGCAGCCTCTGCAATAACGCCCCTCTCTCAATAATGCATGAAATAGAAACTATTGAACATTGTTTTTCGTCATGTTGCTGGTACTTATAACTCGAAAGACTCCTGATTGTTCCGTTTTCGATGGAAGTTTAATAGAAATTTTACGGAACTGCACTTCCTTTATTGTAAGACATTGCCACAGGGATGCATTTGACGGTGTTTGCAATTTCTTTCAACCTACTAAACGTCTCTCATTTTGTTCTCTACTTTAATAAATGCTCATATTCAAGTAACTTTGAAAGTCTGTTAATGTTTCACATACCCATTCCAAATTATTTTGCTGAGGTAAACACAGCTGTAGGGTCTGTCTTAAAGGGAAAAATTTCGTAATTACACTTAGCTGTTATTTTTTTTTTGTGCTGCCGAATGATATTTTTGCTTTCCTATTTTTTATTGATAAGCGTAAACAAATAAGGAAGCACGGAAACATCGTGGCCGCTTCCGTGATTTATTCGTTCACAGGTGACCTCACATTCTTGAGAGCGCCAGGTGGGCAGCATAACTAGAGCAGATGCTGTATATGAGTTTTAGCTGAAGAACACGTTCTTTTCTCCAGGTGGTTGCTGACTGACCTGCGAAATGTATGATTCCATTCGGAAGCACAGGGCCTCTGACAGGGTTGTAAGTCTAAAAATGTCGTGTCAGGGCGCACATGTCGTACAGTGCATCACTCCACCCCCCCTCTGGTTCTCCGCTCCTTATAGACAACTTTGTCACGGTCCAATATACACATGCTTCTAGACAGTAGGAGCATCATCTGGTCTGTCTTCATCGACGATCACAACGAGATCCTTCGTCGTATTTACCCCGGGCATCTTTCTCAGATAAAAAAAAGTGCCAATGAATATCACTACAGCTAACATCACCGCTCCGAAAAACACGCACGAAAACACATTAGGGTTGGCGTCCATGAACTGCCCCACAAGGAGCGGAGGTGAGAGGGAGCCGAGTCCTCCGGTAGCCGCCACAATCGACATCATCTTGTTGCTCATATTGATGTGCGCCGCCACCCAAGCCGTCATCGCAGCATTCAGCGGTCCCTGAGCAATTCCCGCGAGGGCGCTCGAGGACCATAAAGCGATGGCGATGCTGGAACCCCGTCCCAGTAATACGATTGCCGTTAACACCAAGATGAGATGCGAGACGAGCAACACGTGAAAGGCGGACATCTTGATCGTTACTAGCGCGGCCGCGAGACGACTGGCCGCGAAGCACGCAAAGTAAACGGCGGCCAACTGCGACGCTAGCGACCTCGAGAAGTGCAAGTCACATTTCACAGCGAACGCCGGCAGCATCTGGGACGTGTTCACCTCAATAGCCACGTACACGCACACGTACGCACTCAGCAATGCAAGCGTTACTCGGGAGAAGAGTCTCCTGGTAGGCGATCCTGGGGCGCCTCGTAAAACCGAGTTTGTCCTGCCGGTCTTGAAGTTGGCATTATCGATGAAGTAAAGCGCGGCCATAGACATCACTAGGAGTAATTCGAAGCCACTGGCTATTCTGAAGGCGTAGTGCACCCTGCTATGGTATTGGTCATCGGTCGCTGTTTCGTTCCCAATTTCGAGAGGTATGATCGGCTCGACGTCGCTATTGTTGTAAGTCACGTTGGCAATCGGTATCGTCGAATTGGCACTACCGTTGTTTGACGCGGAGAGAAAAGGTTCGGCTATGAGGGGCGCCAGGAGACAGCCGACGCCGAATGCCAGGTGAAAAGCTTGCAGCGCGGGGCTCGAGTTCCGGGGCCACATCTTCATGACCCACACGTTCGCACCTGCAGGCGTATATAGTGACGGCCTGGTTTAGTGCTTTTTGAATCAATGACTTCGTCAATTATGTGCTTACTTGCGCCCACACAGAGAACCTTTCTCTGAATAAGGTGGGTTTATTTTACTAGCGATACTTCCAGGACCACGTTCCTTGAGGGAGGGAGTGTTTACAGCGAACAAGGCTGCGTTAACAAAACTAAATTGGATTGTAACCCTAGGTTGGCATTATTATACTGTTCAGCTGCATGTGATCTAGAACATATCATGAAAGTGCTGTACCTGATATTAAATGCCTGGAAGTCATTACAGACTGTGAGATTGTGCTGAGAGTGATGGACACAGCGCAAGCCACAATGAGACGAAATACGAATGATTACATATGATACATATGCGTAAATGGAGTTCAGAGGTGAGCCCGCAAAAGGGATCTGGTTACTGGGTAATTTTATGATAAATTTTCATTTAATTTAGGTATTTAGACGACAAACTTATATTGCACCTTGCTAAATAAAATAAGAAATCAAGTTGAGTAACTCATCGTCAGAAAACTAAGCATCATTAGGAATCTACAGCTGATCTTAAATAAGCGCGTTGCGTGGTGTACGTAGTAAATAATAGCAAAATGAGGTACCGTAAAGGGGGAAGATACGCCGAAAAAATAAAGGGCTTATTACTGCGTGCATGTTGAATGAGACAGTGAAAAGCAGGACGTGGACGCCTGGTATTTGTTAGGAAGATCTGACCACCCCACCCAGCATATAAAATGCCTAAATTACATGGTTATTATAATGCGAGATAGCTCAATTATGAACTTGAAAATAAATGAATGATCAGAATAGAAGTGACTCCATATAAAGCAAGGCGAACCGAGGTGATACATTTCAAACAGGACCTGTCCCAGCACGTTTCCAGGAAATTGAAATTGCAGCGTGATAACTCGCCTTATGCCCACAGAACTACCACTAAAAGATTTCCCCAAAAAATTCTTCCTTCAATTAACTTCTAAGCGACACCATACGTGCTTGCGGAATGGTCTTTTCTTATTTTATTTGGTAGCGTAACATGCAAAAGTATTACAGTGAGACAAAATTGAAAGTAAAGGCACATCTTTGTTGATTTCGAAGCCATGGTCTGTGCGGAATCAGCGCCGAGTTTTTAGTAAACTTGCCCGTGCCAAAGGCACCTTGGCTGAGCCCTTCGAAAAAGACCATGACATGCGCTAATGCCAGGTATCGGGAAATCGGAATCATGAGTACGGTGACGGAAGTCAAAGACATCATGATGATCGATACCACCTGGGTGTTGTAAGTGTCGTACAGTTTGCCGCCTGCGAGAACAACCGCAGCCACGAGAAAAAAAAAATGAAGAAAAAAATAGTCACAGTATCGCGGCAAGGATGACTCAGTGAGTGCAATAGTTACAAATTGGAACCTTGCACGTAATAAGACTAGCAGCAAACTCCATCACAATCTGATCCGGCGTAACTCTACAAAATGCTGGTGTAAAGAAATGCGGCCGTTCCAGGTTGCGAAGCGGGTTTCAGGCTATCTGTTCTCCCAACGCGAAGTAAGCCCCAATTACACATATTGTACAAGGGTAGAAGCCATACAAGGGTAGGAGCCGTACATAGCAGCCGTACAAAGGTAGGATCCGTCGCGCGTGCCGTCGCACGCATAGTTATTCAAAGTGCTAAGTTGCTCCCTGAGCAAAGAATGCTTATCACTGGCACCCCTTCTTTGTCCATGGCGCAAGGAAGCCTGCCAGCACGTTTCTTCTCTGTCTGAGTCGCCCCAGTCTGCAACCTCTGCAATGCAAGCACTCGTTCGCACACAGAACATACCAGCCGGGGGGGGGGGGGGGGAGGCAAAGGGGCGCGAGCTTGTCCACTGAGAAAAATTAAAATGGCTGATCCCCCCCCCCCCCCGCTTTTGTCAGTGGTCACTTTTGGCTAAGCAACAACTAAGGCTAAGTTTTCCTTCACCACCGTAATCACTCGCTTATGTTGTTACGAGGGAATATTACAATATAGTGACATTTCTCCAACATTTTTGAGGTGAAGATTTTAGTAGGCTCTTGCGGTGCGGGCCGCCTATGCGGCGCTTTCGCGCCTTGTGCATTGCAGAGCAGCCCAGCGCTGAACAAGGGTCCAATAACATTGCATAACTTGTCCACGCTTTCGTTCGGCTGTGACTGGCTGATGCACTTAAGGATGCGAACGAGCAAAAGTTTTAAGGACGGGTCAAATAATATGCTACTTCGGGAAAATTGTTTTCTTTGATCGAAATTGAATATCATCACCGCGGCTTTGTTGAAGCTGCTGTGAGCTGATGAATGTTACGAATCTCGTTTGATGTTCTAGTGTTATCTGGAAGCGTGAAAAAAGTGTTTCCGCTTTAGTCTCCGATAAATCTGATCAACCTTGCTTATGGTAAGTTGGAGCGATGGTGGCAGCTGACAAAGTGGCGACGGATAAAATGATGGACTCGAGCACAGTGGGAAGCTCAGCTTTTAAGCTTGCCCCTGAACTTGATCTACCATACCACCATACCAAGGGGAAGGTGAAATACAATGGTTTTTAGCTCTATGTAGGCTTAATTGAGAGTCGGGATAGGAGGTTTTCATACAACTTGAATTGTCTTTTGCAGCTAAAAGTACAACTTGGACAGCAAAGAAGTAGACACATGCAGCACTGCTTATTTCTATCCTTTCCTCTCTCTCTCTCTCTCTCTCTCAACAAGGACGAGCTCAGAGATGTGTGCGCGCACAAACTACTAAACGGCTTGATTCTGCAAGTGAAAATACTTTATTATACTCATATTGTTACATCTCGCCAGCTGCTATGAGTAGCCGCTAATAATGTGACCAGCGGCTAGTGTATTGGAATAATATCTTGAAGAAGATGCTCTCCGACTACGCCAAAAAAGTTTTAGGTATTGTTCAGCGTGTAAATGCACTGTTTAATATGCAAGTGCTGTAATGAGCACCACGACATTCCATAGAATCGTGGCATCATGTAAGAAGCAGGCGATTTTAAGGCATACAGAATGCTGAATAACCAGTGGCAAACAATATGCCGTATTGAAAATAGTTGATTCTCTTATTTTTACGTGGTCTTTTATAAGTGATAAGTGGTTCGTATATATATATATATATATATATATATATATATATATATATATATATATATATATGACGCTATGACGACTGGGCGACGTGGCCTGGCTCATACGCCATGTTTATTCTATCAAGCACTTCTTCCTCATCTACTTCTCCTAACCATCCCTGCCTTCTTACGTCTCAGGATTCCCCCTCCCCCCGAAAGAAGTCACGTCAGACGAACAGAAATGAAAACTAAGCATGCACGGCTTAGAAGTGAACACTGTCAAAAAGGGAGATCGTTTTATGTCCCAGGAAGTTTCCGTAAACACACTAGCTTCACAGGAGAGTGCAGCAGTCCGGCCATATCTAAAAGAACTCGGGTGGACGAGGCTGGCTGTTGCGCCCGGGATAGCATAACCCCACCCTGCACATCTGCACTGATGATAACACGACTTGAGGTTTTTTGAGGAACGAACAAGGCTTGAAATCTGTGTAGCATTGGATTGACGGATGTCTTTGGCATCGGATCCAGTGCCGTTGTGGCAACAGACGCTTTGCTTCTAGTGGGCGTGCGTGAGAACCAAGGCTGATGGGACGATGTATTTTTTTCTCCGTTGTATACGCGGTATCGTCATGTCTCTTTTGTAACTTTCTGTGGCGTTCTCTCAGTTTGTTGGATCGAGGACATGGCCATGAGAACAGGTGCAGAAAATTTTGTCGACGTTGCTTTCTGCGAAGATGGCTTAGGCATTGACTTTCTCTTTGCCTCTTTAATTGCTATTGTCTCTCTGATGACCTTCAGACCACAAGTTTAGTCGTGAGGAGGTTTCACTTGATCGTTGTTCTTGTTCAAGTAGCCGTTGTAGTTCCTGGAGTTCGTGGAGTCACCTTTGATGAAATCACTCGTTTTGTTTCGAAAGTTGGTCAGATGGGCATCTGTCAGGTACATGAGTCTGCTTTTCTTTGCATGGTGATGTGATCAGTAGATAGTCGGTTGTCGATACTGTACTGTTGTGCTTGTCTTGCGATGAAAGCAGCGTGACAGACTGTTGAGAAAGCTCCCAAGATGGTTGTTAGTCATCATTGATTGTAAATGCTTCTGTCAGTTGACAATGCGCCGGCAGTGGTGGATTCAAAATATCTGCAGTGCTTTGACTCATATTTGGGTTATCACTTGACGATGAGAGCACAAGAGACATGGCTTCAGGTGGTTCTGATGGCGTATGTTTTTTTTTGTAGCGTGTTTAGACCGAGAATGTTTGTCGAACGACTCTGGTCCGGAACGTCAGGGTGTGGGCTGGTATTGTGAAGGTTCATCAGCTCGTCACGTGTAAATGCCGTCACACGTTCGAAACCGTCTAGGCCTTGTGCGTGACACGAAGCATCAAGTGATTCGGGTGGTTCAGTAACATGTGAGGTGTTGTGGTGCAATGAACACGTTGAAAATGCCGATTTCATTGCTCTTGGGAAAGCCGGCTTTAGGTGGAGCCTTCTGGCGAAATTGCCCAGATTCTTTTCGGTATACGGAGGCTTTACCTTGTCTGTTGTGACGTGCAAGTTACCAGTCAGTGTTCGAATGCGTGAAGTTTTTTCGGAAGAGTTATATGATGGTACAATGGTGGTACATTTTTTCTGTGGTCTCGTTTGGAAAATAGGCGCACTGCGGGAAGACTTCGCATAACTGTGACGGGTGAGTTGAAAAGCCTTTCGCTGATGTAATATGGACAGATCTTCATAGTATTCTTTGAAATGGGTGATCTTTTCTTCTTTGATCTTTTTCCAAGACTTATCGTTCTCGAAGATGTGGGTGAGGTAAAATTTGAATGCCTCACCGGAGACGTAGTCGGTAAAGTTGATGACCATCTCCCGTTCCGACCATGATGCAGCGGTGGCGTGGATCTCGAAGAGGTTCAACCAGTCTTCTACGGGTCCGTCGTCTGCTGATCCGGTGTACTTGGGGATGTCGAGGTCGGCAGATGGTTCTGACATGATGCTGACCGATGCGTTATACTAGGCGCTTGTACGGTAGTCCATGTGTGGTCACGGTGTCTTGCGGAGAATTGCGTAGATGATGAGCGACTGATGAAGGGGCTGGCAGGTCTTCATACTGTCGACTCGTGTGACGCTATGACGACTGGGTGACGTGGCCTGGCTCAGTTTATAATTTCTGTTCGTCTGACGCAACTTCTTTCTGGGGGAGGGGGACGCCTGGGTCATAAGAGGGCAGGGATGGTTAGGAGAAGTAGAGGAAGAAGAAGTGGAATGGAATAAACATGGCGTATGAACCAGGCCACGTCACCCATTCATCGTAGCGTCACACACACACACACACACACACACACACACACACACACACACACACACACACACACACACACACACACACACACACACACACACACACACACACACACACACACACACACACACACACACATATATATATATATATATATATATATATATATATATATATATATATATATATATATATATATAGGCACTGACGGGTGAGTTAGGTTTGCCCCCCCCCCCTCGAGAGAGAGTTGGTACGCCCCTGTACGACACGTAGGTCGACGATATTTATTTTGAAGTTTACGGAACATAACGACGACGGCATAATGCGCTTGGAGTGCCCGTATGATTGAATGTCAAAAGTATATAGCAGATCCCGAGTAATCTGTGGTAACCCAAATCCCTCGAAGATATTTATAAGTATGCCCCGCCGTGGCCTAGTGGATAAGGTATACTCTGCTGCTAAATCTCGGCTGTGGCGGCTGCATTTTTGATGGAGACGGAAATGCTGTAGGCCTGTGTGCTCAGATTTGGGTGCATGTCAAAGGATCCCAGGTGGTCTAAATTTCCGGAGCCCTTCACTACGGTGTCTCTCATATAATCATATGATAGTTTTGGGACGTTAAACCTCACAAATCAATCAATTTAAAAATCAATCGATCAATTTTTTGAAGGATCTCGTCACACGAAAAAAACGTCGAGAAAAACGAACACGAGGATGAGGAACAACAGTGGTGTGCAGCTTCTTTTTCTTTTATGTGTTCGCTTTTAAGGCTGTTTCGTCAGCCACCCCAATGATGTGACGCAGCGGCACCGCTTACCATTTCATGTTTTGTGGTTATAATTGAGCGTTTAGTATTCCGCAAATATTATTACACACGGTATAGGTGATGCTTGTCAGAGGCCAGCAGTTGCACACATCGCATAAGCGTATGTGAGACCTGTAAGGGCCTGTACACGCGCTACCAGCACAACTGCCCCACACGCTGTGGGACACCTGCCGCCGCCAAGCGGAGGGTGCAAGAGCAAATCGGCGACGTCTTTTGCTCTCCACTTGCGCGTGGCGGATGTCCCACCAAAGTGGATGTGGCTGTTCAGATAGCGCGTGTACAGGTTCTAACCAGTCGACGACGGCCGCAATTCAGCCGCGTCAAAATGACTGCTAAAAATGGAGACTTGACTATTACAGTCAGTAAATATCTGCAAGGGAGTCAAAGGATGAGAGTTCATTCAAAGATGCTTTCAGGTGGCAATATAATTCACGTTAAAACAGTCTTTCACCGTCACACTCTTATAAAGCTACAGTAATAAGGGCACCCCGCCGCGGAGGTCTAGTGACTAAAGTGGATAAGGCTGCTGGCCCGCAGGTCGCGGGATGGAATCCCTGCTGCAGTGGCTGCATTTTCAATGGAGGCGAAAATGCTGTAGGCTCGTGTGCTCAGATTGGGGTGCACGTTAGAGAAGCCCAGGTGGTCTAAATTTCCAAACCCTTCTACTACGGCGTCTCTCATAATCATATGGTCATTTTGGAACATTAGACCCGACATATAAATAAGCTACAATAATAAGGGCACGTATGCTTGCGCGAAGTCTATAGCGAACAGTGTTATACAGTCGTTGGATATGCAAACCGCGATGAATTCTGCATTTACGTCCTTTACATAAATTAGTGACTACCGTACTGACCGATAAGAGATCCAACCAGTCCACCGACGCAGCGCGATGTTATCAGCTGAGAGACTGTTGATATATTGCTATCGTAGATCTCGCCAAGATCAAGTAGCGCCACACCACTGAGAGCAACTATGAGACCCTGAAAAAAAAAAGTCGTGAATAAGACGCTGTACTTAGCACGGGGTCGAAAAAAAATACTAGAGTTCTGGAAGAAGATCTAAGCATTGAATCCGACAGCAACAAATCAGATTGTTACACGTAATAACGCTAGCAGTTCTTTTTCTTTAACATGGCGAAGATACCTTTGTGGTACATCAGTAAGGGGACACTGATTAGAACAAATAATTTTTCGCGTATTCTCAAGTAACGATTTCCTTATCCCGAAAACACAACTCTCACCGCGAGAGAATGCTTGGTGAGAAAAAAACGCAAAAAAGTGGCTGTAGACGCCACCTCGAGATTCTGCAACAAACACCCTGATTGCACACATTTTGAAGGCGTCTTCTGGGTCATACGCAGCCTCTTATCGACAAAGATATGGTACATTGTCATCTTCGTGTGCCACACACTTAGCATACGAAGTTTCAGAAGGAAGGAAAACAGGAGGAATAGAACGGCAAAGAGGTTAACCAGCCTATAGGCAGCCGGTTTGCTACCCTGCGCATTTGAGTGGGATGGGGGAGATGAAAGATAGAGAGGAGAGAGCGACGACAGATAAACACAGCACATTGGGCAGCACACGCGCGCACACTCAGTCATAGTCCAGCCTTATCTTTCGTGGTGCGGGACATTGCTTTACAAAATTTATTCTAGCCAATGTCGCTAAAGTGCAAAAAAGACACATGAAAATTTCTGACGTCAGGCGCGAGGTTTTTGGCGCAAAATTTAAAAAATAAGATGCTTCAACCTTCATTTTCAGTGCTAATAATAAACGTATGATAGTGAATTGTAATAAGAGTTGCAGCGCAAGCACGAAAATGCTGAAAAAAAGGTAAACGAAAGGTGAGGAATCTTCTTCGCCTTCCGTTTGCCTTTCTACCGGCATTTCCGTGCTAGCGCTGCAGCCCTGATTACAATGGAATATAACCAACTAGCCCGAATAGCCGTTCTTCTTCTATAGTGAAACTTGCCGCATTACAGTTTTCATAGTCATCTTACAAATCTATACCAAGTCATTGTTTCTCTTTAGTGTTCCTTAATTGAGGTAAGACCTCATCTTCATCTCTATACTTTCCTTTGTTTTATTTTCGGTTCTGAACAATACTGAGTCTAACGAGCTGAAACGAGCTCTTAAAATTTCGCTTCCAATATGGAAGTGATTCGCCCTTAAATATAATTCTCAAGTAATATACGCACCTGATGGGAGGCATCAGACTTCGACAGTGAGGGATACTTCATCGGTACCTCATAGCTCGACGGACGAAGAAGGACAACTTATCTTGCTCAGCGCGTACTGCTGAGCAAGATGCAGACACCGACTGCTCGAAGCGTGTTGCAACTGCTGCGCACCACCACTCCAGTTCTCGCAAGCCTTCAGAAGTCTGCTGCTTGAGAGCGCAAGCAGCACCATCATGGCTTCACCATCGGCAAGATTTCTGGGTGCATGTGTCCACGCATACAAGTTACTTAATGCAAAGAATGTACTCATTTGATTAAGACAAGGGTGTGACTCACCGTCTGTGATGTTAAGTACATAACTGCCGTTTTGTCGAGCGGCATGAGTGACATTTCTCTCCTTCGCTCTTTCTAACTTTTATTCCTCTTACCCCCTCCCCAGTGCAAGGTATATAGCCTACCAAGGGCCATGGTTAACCTACGTGCCTTTCTTTCAGCCTTATTTTCTCTCTCTCTTCTCTAGCTGCTTACGTTCCTCATGCTGCCTACGGGTTGAACGCAAGCTTTGTGATGAGAGCACAACTGTATTTCACTTTGCGTCCTTATTATTTTTCTTACTGCATGTTTTGCCTACGGAGGGAGAAAGAGTTGCAGGGGCCACTATAATGGCAACGATCTCTACTGTTTCATGATTACAATAAAAAAAAAACGCGCATAAAGCAATGACCAAGTATCTGTATCCATCTAGGGGCACGTAACATTGCGGGTGCGACAATGGACGACCATGCCTGTTAGGTCAAAGTACAAATTTTCCGAGTTTTTAACAGCCATATAGTTTGACGAAATACTTCGCTTATGACAATAGTTATAGCGCGAGAGCAGAAAGACTACAAAGGGACACGAAGAAGTTCCTTTGTCGCTTATATTTTTGATATGTTAAAAAAAAACCCTAAGCTTTCGGAGCATGCGGCGACTGATCAAAAAGGCTGAACCAGCATCTTTTATTCACCAGACAATCTTCGTGCGTTGGCAAGAAAGGGTAATTTTCTTACCGTGCGCGTGGCGTGAATTTCCGAGCTTGCTTATGAGGCAGTTACAGGTTAATTAATGATAAATCATAAATGTGTGAAGAATGTCTATCCTCGTACAAATTGACGAAGGATTCACAAAATGTATTCTTGTCTGAAATGATAGGTTGCACAAAATAAAAAAAATAGTCATGTATCAACTTTCCATCTAGTGCATTGAAGCCCAAAGAAACATTTTATGTAAGTAGGTAGAGAATTTTTCTATGCCTTTTATATTGTCCTTCGCAGTCACATGCAGGCACGTATTTGTATTCCGCGCATGCGAAAAAAAATTCCGGATGAAGGTTCCTGTGCTTGCGTTCGGCTGTTTTTCAGTGACTTTGCATTCTTTGTAGGGTAGCCAATCGGATGTCTTTCTAGTTAACCTCCCTGCCTTCTTGCCTTCTCCCTTTTGTTGTTTCCTTCCTGCCTTGTATTCGTTGGTTGCTCCGCTTTAAAATTGTGAGGGAGCAACTGCTCATAAATTTGTTGCCGTTCGCATGTTCCACCAGCTGTATACGTACGCAGTCGAAAGCCTTGTTCACGAACTATACCGGGAGTTTGTTCACCATCTTGCAAAGTACCCTACAGTCTTAACACAAACTGCAATGAGGCTGAAGTTGCAAATATATTGAAAGGCACCGTTTTACACGAATACCTGTGCTCTGTAGATTTGGATGTGACATTCAAGTGCAGGCCGCCGAAACCACATCCTCTCTTTTAAAAACTTGTCATTCGTGAAACGCAAAAATTACGTAGTTAGGACGAGGGCGAGTAGGAGGAGGCATACCATTCCCAGGTTACCGAGGCTCGCGTCGCACGTTCGACCCACGTTGAGCAAGAATGCAGTTCGGGAAGTCCGTGACCAATCGGAAGCTTCGCCGCTGTACAGTCAACGAAGCAATGATTTTTATATGAAGCAATGAATAAAACAAATAAGTGAGAATAATTAGCAAGTGAGAATCAAGCCCGGGACACTTTAGTGATCCTCGAGGTCTAAACCCAAGGTTTGGGTGGTACCAGGATTTATATTTCAAGCAATGCCCCACATGCAACAACCCGCAAGTTCCGTATAAGTTTGCGGCTTGAAAATACGAATATTCTTAAACAGCTTGTGTAACTGAAGCCGGTGCTTGGTCAAATGATCTTGAGTGCTTCAAGACAGCAGCGACCTTGAAGAAAGCAAGACCGCTGGTTCAAGCGTTGGCTCCAGCGACAATGCCTGTTCAACAATATTCATCTTGATCTGCATGACAGTTGTTCTAAAGAGGACGTACTATAGTATCACACGACAAAGATAGCTACCTATTTTAAAAGAAAATACTTACATATTGCCATCAGCACTTGGCTGGGGTTGGTAGCGCACATCTGCAAAGTCTACCTGTGATCTTCCGTTCATGGTTTACCCTGGTGCGATTCAACTCCTTCGGTGACTATAGTAAAGGTCGCATGTAACCAAACACGCAGACGGCAGCAAATGCAACACATGTGGAACTAAAAGCGTATTTGGGGGAAAAAAGTAAAAAAAAAGTACAGTGACCATGCTTCGCCGACAATAGAGCAGCTGTGTGCAAAGAGTAGAGCTAACAAGATTTGTCATATCCCATGACGGAATTCAACCAACTGCAAGGATTGCGATAGAATAAAGGTTGAGAGGGAATACTAGGTCAACAAAGAAACAGAAAAGAAGACATTAAACGAGAGTTTGAAAGTGGTAATTGAGCTTGCGTTGATCACGGCTTTCACTAAAGTTTGGATAATAAAAAATAAAAACAGAAAAGTCAGCACTGCGGAGAGATGAAGAGGGGGAGGGAATATATGTATATTGTCGACCGACAGAGCTTTGTGTGACAGGTACATGACAGCTGTCTGGATGTCATCGCTAAAAAGGAACTACGCATATGTGAGGAAGAGGAAGTTGGTTACTGTGCTTTTTTGAGAGCCGTAAAGCAGAAAAGCATCGGAGATCCCCGTAAGAGATGACTACCCAACGGCAGAAACCATCACAGTAAATGTTATGAACCAGTAAAGAGACAGCTCTCTCTCTACTGCTTTTGTAGGCCAATATTTTATAACCCAGTGATATGGCGGAGTTGTGAAGAACTTATCGCTTACCTTACAAGTAGTTTGTATACAATATACAAGCCTACACGCACACATACACACAGTGAACATCTATAGAACCTTTCACTGTTTACAAACACCAACCCTTAATAACATCCGGCTTCGTCCACTAATGTGCCCTAATAGTATCAGTGAGCAAGAACAGCTTTAGAAAATATCCCACTCATGTTCTGCACTTTCCTTCCCTTATTTGGTACAATATATTTAAATAAACGTTATATTGAGCTATATAAAAACAATAAGAGATTTCCGTGACCTTTGTTCAGGTTCTTTGTATCTGAAAAGGTAAAGGGAGGCTTTCTTGCCCTAGAAAAAAAAAAGCTTGAAAACGTGCTTTCAGTTTTGACGTTAGAAGCTGGTAAATGAGGTGACCGGAAGTTTTTTTTTTTTTTTGCGGTACAACGCTTGCAGTCTCGAAAACCGTATATGTATACTTTGCAAAAACGAATATCACCTGGTATTGCTTGTAGTGTTCTGTCATTTTGTTAAGGTCGTTTTAGGTCTTTTTGTTTTTGGTTATAGTTATTGCTAGTGTCCTTTGTGTTATCGTGTAACTATACAACACTGAGACAGCTTGCCCTATAGACCAGAGCACGCCTTTGTCGCACCCAGGCGCCTATACATAGGCTACTGGCACATACTCTCGCACCCAGACGGCTATGTTGTTTCGAACTGCCAAAGCATGTTATCTGTGGCGCAAAGTTAATATGGCAACCGACGTCTCTGGAACTTTACGAGAAAGCGCCTATTCACTCCGCTACCGCTTACAAGAGCTCGTCTGGGCACCAGTCTGCTATCTTTGGATGCGAAAACAACTAGCGCAACAGGAAGATATTAATCAGCACTGTCACTGAAGATCACAACATGATGCGAGAATTGTGCTGGTGTGGTGTTTTCAGATTGCATAGATTTCCATCCGCAACGAAAAACGCCGAGTACCGCCGTCAGTGGATAATTGCAATCAACATGACAAACTATACGAGCCCAATAAAAGTGAACGAGAAGTACACTTGAGAAGCACGAAGTAGGTACACTCACTGCGTTTATTCAAGCGTAACGTGAGGTGCTTCGCTTTACAGCAGTGGTTTGCGTGCAGTATGCCTGTAGTATGCGGCACCAAATCATTCCCGCACTCTTTCGTTTGCCGCATGCCAATAATAGCGCATATTACCACTTGCCCCGCCGCGGTGGTCTAGTGGCTAAGGTACTCGGCTGCTGACCCGCAGGGCGCGGGTTCGAATCCCGGCTGCGGCGGCTGCATTTCCGATGGAGGCGGAAATGTTGTAGGCCCGTGTGCTCAGATTTGGGTGCACGTTAAAGAACCCCAGGTGGTCGAAATTTCCGGAGCCCTCCACTACGGCGTCTCTCATAATCATATAGTGGTTTTGGGACGTTAAACCCCACATATCAATCAATCAGCATATTACCACTCACGTGTGCATGCACGCACTGCCGCACGTTCAGTACAAATGTAACGGCGCACTATCGCGACGCGAAACCACGTGAACAGGGGAAATTAAGCGTGATTTTCGAGTCCGTCTATAGAACTGCGACATGCTTTAACAGTCGCTAGGCGAATCTGAGCTTTGAGCCGGCATCACCATAGCACTATAAAATCTTTATCTGGCAGACAGCTTTGCAACACGTCTGTGTTTCAAGTTCCAGACATGACTGGCAAATAATGAACACATGCGGCGCGTCAGCGCAAGCCGGAGAGGGACTCTAGCACTACATTCACTCCGGCATACAGCACAAATTCCGCCTTGCCACAGCCAAGACATACACGCCACTTCGAGTTAATCGAAAGCAACGCTTTCCGCCTTTCGCGTTTCTTTCCATTGGGATCGTACGTGCCTCATGAAGTTACTTCTG